GGGGGGCAGCAGTGTGCTTGTCTAATGACTAAAAGCCATAACAAACACAAAGCCTTCATTACACTCATTCTTAGCCACCTATTTCATCAATCAATACACCACATCATCCTGTGTCAGCCACTAAAGCCTAATGATATCCACAGACAGAGCCTTCTGTGGATATTCTGTATTCTTTTTTAAACGATTAGATGGTGTATTCAATGCCAGAGATTTCAATACTCCCTAGTCTAATGCAGTACGCTGTCATTGTTTAGATCTATAAGCAGCTAATTAGCCATGCTTGTTAAGGTAAGTATTATTATTACTCCTACTTAGTTAGTTAAAGGTATTGTAGGTAGGATTTAAAAAAAAACTTTTTGCCAAATTTGTTTAAACTTTCTATATATATCAATGCATAATTAAAATGTAAGTACTCTGGAAAAGAGAGTATAAAAATCGAGTGTCTGTAGTCCTCTCAGGGCTGTAATAAACACAGCTACTTATCTCCATTCACTTCCACCCCCTCCATTCTGGGCTCCTTCCAAAACCACGCCCCCAAAACACATGAACGCGCGATGCCGACAGCTCACAGCTGGAGGACGCGCTTACCAGCGCCGAGCAGAGAGGAGCAGTGCATGTAGTGACATCATGTCAGACTCGCATGTAATAAAATACCTAACTTTATCATTATGAATATAAACAACTAACATGGCTGTTAGTACTCACTATCAAGCTAGCATATCGATACTGGTAAAGTTTAAAATATATTGAGTTTGATTCGTTAACGAGCTAGTAACATAAAGCAAAGCTAAAAACAGGTTGCATTGATACACGTTTTCCCATTACAATCAGTTACACTGTGATGAAGGTGAATTTCGTGTAAGATTCATAACATATACGCCGTGTTTTGCATGTAGTTGTGTCTCTTACTAGTCTCTTACCCTCCACCTCGAGTCAAACGAGTGCGCGCATGTGGGCAGCGCATGTAGCAGCGGGGGTGTTGCCATGGTTGCGAGAGAGTGACAGTCGCCTAAGCCAATCCTTTGTTTCGTCCCGGCAGGAAATAATGAGCTGTGTTTAGTGCAGATTAAACTGTCTAGAGTCACTCGATTTTTATACTCTTTTTATCAGAGTACTTACATTTTAATTATGCATTGATATATATAGAAAGTTTAAACAAATTTGGGAAAAAGTTTTTTAGACCAAAAACGACCTACCCTACCTTTAATGGGGTTAGTGGTTTGAACAACCCCATTTTACATTTACATCTATGTCCATGTGATTTCAAACTAGAAAAAGATGGGAAGTTATATAGGGCTGAATGATTGCTAGGCATTTATTTATACATTTAGGTGTTGCTAGGGTGTCGTAGTTGCTTGCTATGGTGTCATATCTACAGTATTTATATATCTACTCAGCAATTGCGGTCAGCATCATTAACATTTTGTGTCATTTGACCTCTTGGATGGATCGGCTCATTATTTGTGTCCAAAGCAGCCTTAAATGGGATAGTTCACTCTAAAATGAAAATGAAGTCATGATTTACTCACCCTGGTGTTGTTCTAATGCCATATGCCCTTCTTTCTTTCACTCGTCCATATAATGGCAGTGAATAGCAAACAGCATCGTGCTTTTTAAAAAAGACGCAAAAGTATCAAATGAACTCATGAGTCACGTGTCGAATATTCCAAGTGTTATGGGGGTATACAATATGAAATATTCTGAGTTGAATATATCCATTGTGTTCATCGTAAAAAATATGTTATCGAGTTCATATCTGTCAACTGTCATTCTGACTGTCACGTACGCAGATACATTTTTGGGACTTCTAGGCATTGTATTTCGTGTTGCGCTTTTGTTAATCTTGATATCTCACTACTTGTGTGGGTTTTTTTTGTGGGAGAACTGCGGCGCTAACAGAGTCACATGAACGCGCACATTGCGTAGCTGTGCACCGAAGACCAACGGCCAAGGTCAAGATTTGTAAACCCCCAGAACACTTATATGAATATATGACATGTGTCAAATGGGATCATTCTGTGATACTTGTGTCTTTTTTAAAAAGCATGATGCTGGTCGCTATTCACTGCCATTATATGGATGAGCTCAAAAATTCTCCTTTTGTGGTCCATAAAAGAAAGAAGGGCATACGGCATTAGAAAAACACTGGGGTGAGTAATCTATGACTTAAATGTTCATTTTAGGGTGAACTATCCCTTTAAGTTCACAACTGTAATGACACATTAGATTAGACAGTACAAATGTGATCGGTAAAGGTTGAAGGTACATATAGATCCGTATATAGCCACTGGTGTGCTGATTATCATGGATGTTAGCAGAAGCAGGTGGCGTCAGAATGCATGTAATAACCTGGGAGTGTATTTCCTGCCAGGTAAAACTGTGAGAAAACACCATTTACTAAGTAGCTGTAGCGCATAAATCATCTCCTCCCAAATTGCTTTTTCTCTACCATCCTACTCTGTCTATCTCTCTTTTCCCACAGCCCCCTATACTTTTGTGCCCCCTCTCCATCTTTTTTTCCTCACCCCCCTCTCTCCATCTCATTTCCCCTCCTTCATTTTCATCCTTCTCTCCTCTCTCATTTCCTGCTGGCCGGCCCTCCATCACCCTCTCTCTCAGTGTGCAGACATCACTGCCATATTGGGACAGTGACACCTCCATTAATCAATTTAGCAAACACCACGGGCTGATCTGCACACAGTGTCATGCTCACGTGCACATGCCAAAACATGGAGGACGAGTATCTACAATTCATTCACCTCAATCTGGCCCTGTGGAAGTCAAGGTCATGCAGTCCATTGGGGAATCCGTACGCAATATAAACTGAGGTTGTGGTATGTTGGATTATGCACCACTGGATGGTACAGTCCCGCTTCCTTTGTGGTTATTAAATATTTTTTTATATATACCATATGCATGGCATGAAGGGGATCTCATTGGTGAGGACTAGAGGTCTGCTACCCGACCCGAGCCCGACGGGTCCCGAAAAATTTGCGGGTTTCGGGTCGGGTTCGGGTTAATGTTAATGAACAGCCTCGGGTTCGGGTCGGGTTCGGGTTTAACTAAGAAAAACTAAATAGGCTATATAGTTTGCGTGCCGTGTGCTTTGCCTGCTTGCTGTGTTGTGGTGACCGGCACGCGCGAGAGAGAAAGTATAGGCTACGTCCGCAGATGTGCAATATGTGCATACAGGCTCTCTCTCTCAAATATAATGATATATAAATATAATTTTTTTAATTATTTGTTTTATTTTATCATATCATTTATATCACAAAACTGTTTTGCGCATGTGCTACCGCTCTCGCGCGCTATTTCAGTCACAATTCAAACAGCCGACGACAACAAGCAAACCATGAGTCTGATAAAGCTAAAAATTACTTGGTAAGTTTTTTCTCTTACTGCTGTGCTGCCTGCTGATAGGGCCGCTGCGCCTACATGTATTTGTTTAATATGTCAAGCAATCATTAAATCCAACATTGCATATTTGCAAAAATTCTATTGCTGTGAGAAACAGAATGGACCTCGGGTTCGGGTCGGGTTCGGGCTTAATATGTAAATGTAATTGTCGGGTCGGGTCGGGCCGGGTTCGGGCTTCAGTTTAAAGCCCGTGCAGACCTCTAGTGAGGACTGAATAGCAGTCTTAAAAGGATGTACAGCTCGCTGTGCACTCAATACTGCCATCTTCTGACATGATTCTGGTATTGCATCACCAATGTTAACTTGTCTAATGCTGCCCCCTACAGGTTAGCAAGTGACTCACTAACTGCTGAATGAAATACTGCCCCCTTTTGACAGGAGTGTAGAATTTCAATTTACTCTTATTTGATTGGGGAACTTCAAGGTACTCAGTTCAGACTACTTATAGACTATTTTCTATTGTAAAATACACGATGCTCATTTAAGATTCAAAACCAGAGGAAGTTTCAGTCCCCCCCAAAAAATATATTATACAAATATTATTATAATTCAAAATAAAGAATAAAGAATAAAATAAAGAAAGTCAGTCACATACTGTTAAAATGATTATGCTTTTTGCGCTTATTTGCATTTTAATTGCAATTAAATGAAAAAGTATTATAGTTAAAATGTATATTAAATGCAAGCAGCTGCATTTTGTGTGCTTTTTTGACCCACTTGATTAGGACTTGAGTATATCTTTATATAATTTCATAATTTCTATTTTCTTTGAAATATGGTTAAAGTGTACTGCCGAATGTACTGACAAGCATTTATAGTCAACCAAAATATAATTTAATGTAATTTCTGTTGAAACTTGTACATCATGTATTTAAATATATTTGTATAACAGTTTTGCAATGATGAAATGCAATGTAGTATGTTTTAATATATCAACTTTAAATGTAACATCAAATAACATACTACAGTTAAAATTATAATCAAGTACGTTACATGTGCTTTAGTTGGTTAGTGAACACATAAAAACGTATTTCTTTAAAAAGTGTACTTTTCTTTGCAAAACAAAAGATTATTAAAACATAATAATTTAAAATGTACTTTGAAGTAAAAAATTAAATTTGACATTTAAAGGGTACATTAAATTGTACTAGTGTATTAAAGGGATAGTTCACCCAAAAATGAAAATTATACCATAATTTACTCACCCTCAAGCCATCCAAGGTGTATATGACTATCTTCTTTCAGATACCTAGCTTCCTAGTATGCGTAGGTTCATCTGCAGGAAGCTGGTTATTATAGCTAATAAAGTTTTAAATATGGATATTTTACTTAAACAAACGGATCGCTTCGCTTCAGAAGGCCTTTATTAATCGATTACTTTTATGATGGATGGGTGCATTTTTTTGGGCCCCCCCCCCCTAGACACTAGATATGTATCCACCCAAGTAGCAAATTTAATTTATGTGAAAAATCAGAGCAGTGCAAAAACTATATATGAATAAACCTGTGTCCATGTCTCCTTAATAAGTACAATATTGGTCTTATCATACTGTACAATGGAAAGAATACAAAATCATTCTTACCTGTATAATGTCTGTCATCTGCATTAGAAGCAAAACACAGGAAAAAGAGAATAACAGAATTAATAAGGAATGATTATAAAATTTATTCTGTAATTGAAAGTACAAAAGAGTACTCACAGTGGCAGACGGGTTTGGGTGAGTCCCACTTGCCCAGCTTAGTGCAATGTGTGCTGTTTCTGCCCACCAGGATGAAACCCTCCAGACAGCTGTAGTGAAGTATTGTGTCCTCCACAGCTGGGCCTGGAGGGTGCACCGTCACACGGCCGTTCTCCAGAGACGTCCACACCCGCGGACACGGCAGCACTGAGGCGCAAACAGAACAGCGAAGGGTCAGTTATACAAGTGTACGCCTTTTAAGATCCTTCAAAATCTGATTGAACTATCATATTGACTTGTGTCACGATCAGGTCCCAAGGGATGGATGAGGATGGAACAGGATGAGGATGGTGAAAAAGGTCCAAACAGGTTCCAACAAACAAAAGGTTCTTTGATAAAACAAACTCAAGCAATCCATAAAGCTAAAAGCTTCGTAACAGCGTGTATAGGATAAACAAATGATCATACGTTTACACGTTCAATACGAGACACTAACTGAATGAAAACTTGTTGCTTATAGGTGGTTTATATTCATTTAAGATCTATGTTTCTTGTGAGCAGGCTCAAATTTCCCTTATGGGATTAATAAAGTTTTTACCTTTCATTACCTTACCTAACCTTTATGAGGCATAGCACTGTTATAATTAATCTGTCTAAAGCAGTGAAAAGATAAATGATGGCAAAAACCAAACAAATCATTCAGAGAGACTAATTATATAACACACAATATGCTGTTATAACTTATACGTCATATTTCTGCCCGGTAGTGACCACGTCAAACACATCTTTCTGTCAACACCATCTGTCTGATTTTAAAACAGCACAGGACAGTCTGAAGGTTTTGTAAAAGTTATAGTGTGTGTGTGTGTGTGTGTGCGCGCACTTGTCATAGCTTCCTTTTGGAGACAATATTGCCAAAAAAGACAATAGATAAATTTGACAAAACCTCCATTTTGGGGATGTACTCAAAAGGAAAAAGAATAGCATTCTCTTGCTGTAATGTACATTATGCACAGTGTACACTGATGTTCAAAAGTTTGAGGACAGAAATATATTTTGCAAGGATGCAAAATTGATTAGTAAAGTGAGACTAATCTTCAAAATTAATTTTATCTGATTTCAGATTCTGAAAGTTCTGTTTATTTGAACCCTATACTTTGCAATCTGAATCATATATTCATTTACATGTACATTACATGTATTCCAAACAAAACCTCAGAATCAGCGCACACACAATGCATCAGTTCAGAACAGGAGAAAGTCACCAGAGCCACCGTGAGTATACAGTAATTGTCATTTTTGTATTGTTGACATTTCTAAAAAGAAAGCTTACATATGTCTGGAAAGCTTTTTGAACAAATACTTGGTACATTTTCAATCTCCTCCACTGACCAGTTTGTATAAATATATTAAGAAGAAATGTTTCCTGATCATGTGACATTGAAGACTGGAGAAAATTCAGCTTTGCCATCACAGTTATAAATTAGCCTACCTTTAAAATGTATTCAGTTGCAATTTTAAATTCTAATAATATTTCACAATATTACCATTTCTGTATTTTTGATCAAATAAATGCAGCTTTGGTGAGTATATTTTTTATATTTAAATTTCTTTTAAAATGACTTTTGAACGCTACTGTATCATATTAGTTTAACATACAGGTAGATGGTGAAACCTGCTGGGCATTTCTGCCTGTCGCACCTCCACCGGTGCCTAAGAGATTAAGGTGTACCGAAGGTGTACATGTTGGGGAACACTACAGAGGGCATTTATGGGTCATCAGCTGGGGACCACCAGTCACGGATGTTTCGCTCCTTTAACCCCAGTACATCTCATGGTGGCGGAGCGATGGCAGGGATTTCTCCCTGCCACCCCCTGCTGATGCCCTAGGTGGATACTGGACCCCAACTCTTTGCCTTCCTTCTCAGCCACAGCCAGAAACTGCCTCTTTCAGCCTCTTCTGCCAGCTCTTTCATGGCTTTCCGGTGCCTTATGCCTGTTGCACCCATGTCGCGGAGCAGACGAGAGGTTGAGGAGCCCACAAACCCCCGGCACCCCACCTCCACAGGGTAAATGACTGCCCTCCAACCAGCCTCCCTGCACTCAGCAGCCAGATCAGAATATTTGGCTCACTTCCGCTCATGGGCAGCTTCAAGTCCTCCTTCCCATGGGACTGTGAGCTCCACCATCAGGACAACCTTGCAAGCAGCAGACCACATCACCAGATCTGGACGCAAAGACGTTTCCACTATCTCCCTGGGAAAATGGAGCTGCTTCCCAAGGTCGACTGCTAGCGTCCACCCCTTCCCTGGTGTGAGGAGTCTTCCTGTGTCCTTCTGGTGGTGGGTGTTACCTCTCTCCCCAGCCCTTGCAAACTGGATGGAATGTGCGGTTAGGGCCGGGGGCCTGCTATTCGCTTCCTGCCTGCATGTTTCCACTACCTCAGCAAGCTTCTTCAGCACCAGGTCATGCCTCCACCTGTAGCGCCCTTGTGCCAACGCTGTCTTGCAGCCAGACATGAGGTGTTGGAAGCTTGCATTAGCAGTGTTACACAGGTGGCAAGATTCCTCGTTGCCAAACCATCGGTGGAGGTTGCGGGGGCAAGGTAAGGTGTCATATGCTGCTCTGACGAGAAAACTTAGCCTGGCCTGTGGAATCTTCCATACGTCAGACCAAGCCAGCTGCCTGTCTAGAACGCCTTCCCACGACAGCCAGCCTCCCTGTTGGCCCTGGGACACCGCTTTGATGGTAAGTCTCTCGTTTTCAGCTCTCATCACCTCTGCTGCCACCATGGCCTTCCTCTCTTCTTTGGATGCATTCGACCAGAAGAGGGGGGCCTGTCCCCAACCGAGGCCTGCCCGGCCGTCCTGTACTCTACCAACCACCTCCCTGTGTCGCAGCCTACTTATTGCCAGGTCAACTTCCTCCTTGGCCTTCCATTTTCTCCCAGTTACAACTTGGGCATCCGCGGCTCTCACCAGATGGTCAGTGGACTCTCTTAGCTCCATGATCAACCGCGCCTTCTCCTGCTTATATCCCCCGCTGATGGAACGCAGGGGCAGCTGGAGCTTGGTCTTGCCAAAGAGACCTACATCAGAAAGGCATCTTGGTAGCCCGAGCCATTTCCTGATGTACGAGTTTGCCAAGCTATCCAACTTGCTCACTGTGGAGGAGGGAACTTCGCTCATCTTGAGTGGCCACATTATCCTCTGGTACAGCGTGAATTGGTAACACCACACCTTGTATTTGCCTGGGAGCTGACTGAGGTTGATCCTGGCAAGGCCACCTGCCAGCTGCTTCTTCACCACGCTCCCCATCTGTTTATCCGTGAGGTCTGCAGAGTAGATTCGGCCGAGGCTCCGGACAGGCTGGCTAGACAACAAGGGGATTTCCTCACCGCCAGCACTAAAGATGGAGCGGTCACTCCTGACCCCTTTCTGAAGGGACAAGCTTCGTGACTTTGAGGGTTTGATTCTCATTCTTGCCCACTCCACAAGTTCATCAAACCTCTTAAGCAGTCTCACGGTGCATGGAGCTGTCTGGAGTATGCTGGTAACGTCATCCATGTACCCTCTCAGTGGAGGTAGCCTTTGGCCTGATGGCAACTTCACTCCTCCGACCACCTGCCTTGCCCCAATGAGGATGATCTCAAACGCTGCTACAAACAAAATTGGGGAGATAGAACACCCCATGGCAATGCCAACTTCAAGTCGTTGCCACTTTGTAGTGAAATCTTCATGCGTGCAGCATATCTGGATGTCCTCAAAGTATCTGGATATCAATCCTTTACAGGGATCAGGGATATAGAAGAAGTCCAGGGCGAATGTAATAAGTTGGTGGGGGACAGACCCATAGGCGTTGGCAAGATCCAACCAGACGACATGCAGATCGCCCTTCTCCCTCTTTGCCCTCTGAATCTGTTCCCATATCACTGAGGAATGTTCAACACACCCTGGAAAGCCTGGTATGCCAGCCTTCTGGCAGCTGGTATCTATGAACCCGTTTCGCGTAAGGAACGAGGTCATCCTCTTGGCCATGATGGAAAAGAATATCTTTCCTTCTACGTTCAGAAGGGCTATGTTCCTAAACTGGTTGATATCCTTTGAGTCTTGCTGCTTGGGAATGAGGACAGACAGGGCTCTCCTCCACTCTACAGGGACAACTTCTTTTTTCCATGCTGCTCCTAGGAGTTTCCACAGGATCCTCTGGACGCCGGGACAATGCTTGTACAGCTTGTAAGGTATCCCATTGGGGCCTGGTGCTGAGGCTCCTCTGGCCTTCCGAACGATATCTGCGACCTCGCTGAGTTTAGGGGGTGCAGTATTAAAGGGCACGGCTGGGGGGGCTGGGCGAGGAACATACCCCGGGGAACCCAGAGGAGTCAGTCTACCAGCATCACTGAACTGCTGACTGAAGTGTCGTTCCAGCTCATCCTTTGTTGCCTCCAACTTCCCGCTCCTCCTATCCTCCAGCAGCTGCCTTGCATGTTTGAAGGGATTCTTGAAGAAATCACTCCTCTCTTTCTCCTTTCGTTTCCTGCGCTTACGGATGCGCTCAGCCCTTCGCAAGCCAGCCAGGCTTTCCTTCACGTCCTTCCACAGTGACTTCAGACCTTCCTTCTCCTCTTCCCCTGCTTTCCTCCACTGCTTTCGGAGCTGGCGCCGCCTCTTCACCAACTGCTCGATCTGTTGTTCCCTCCTTCCTTTCAGCCTTGGGCCTGCGCATTTCTTCCCCGAGATTGTTCCGAGCCTGCCTCTACACTCCTCATACAAGATGTCTCCTATGAAATTGAGCTTGGCCTCAACGTTGCCACGAAGTGAGTGTTCCAGAATGGTACTGAGATCCGCGTCCAGACGTTGCCACACTGCCACTTCCTTGGCTTTTGGCCACTTGATTGCTTGTCTCCGCCCTGGCTCTCTTCTTTCTCCTCTACGGACTGGCCCTTGGTTGTCCGGCCCAATTGATGTGCTCTCCACAAGACCACCCTCAACAGGATTACTCTCCACGATTAGATCTCCTCCCTCTACTTCCTGCTCGCTCTCCTCAGCTGTGGATCCCTCAGCACTGTGGTGTGTAACCTGGCTCTGGGGTCCACTTTTCTTACCTGCAGCTTGTGCTGCAGTGCAACGCTGCTGGAGACTCTCTTCTCCACACTTCATCTTTCCCTGATGGATCCGTAATCCTCTGAACGTGGTCTTTTTCTCCCA